TTTAACACACCTCTTTTGTATATCAAATAAGTAACATTTGCCCTTTTTTATCATTTCTCATAAAGTCTTTCAGTACTTAACGGACTTTCTTTTTGTATGCAATTTCTGGATCTAATTTCTAACTATCAAATATAACTCATTCCTCTTCTTTTATATACCTCTGGAAATGATGATCCTAAAAGTAACCTTAGCTTCTGAAATTGCCCATTCTTTTTATTCCCTACAGATAATTATATTCTAAGATCAGTCAATACTTTAAGGCAGGTTTAAGCATATCATTCATGAATTCCTGATTCAAATTAGACCTTGTTTGCCTGCAAATCAGCTATATACTATGTATATAATGCTCAACCTTAGAGACAGAATCTACTGCATTTTTGCTTTTGAAACAAGGCAGGGTTTTCTGAGAAATCATCTCCCTTGGTATAAATTGCATGACTTCCAAGGGTAATGGAGATTAATTCTGACTAAGTCAACTAATTAATTTTTATTCAACTCTAAGTTCCCCTAGGAAATTGGATTAGGTCCCTTTTTGTTGCAAGCAACACCTACTGAACTCAATCCTTAAGTTGCCACAGTAGCCCTCTTTCCTACCCATCTCAGAATTCTTAATTATATTTTGAGTGGTTGGATAAAAATGACATGAGTTAATAAAAGGATTTTTCTGACATCTCCAGGAACAAACAATATTTACAGTTGCAAGATCCAATCTGGCTCAGTCACCAGGACCAGACGTTTACTCTTCCAAGCTTTTGGACTCATGCTGGAGCCCATCTTCAGGGAACTTCTCTTTACTGGAATATGTGCTTTGGTTATTCTATGAGAGTAGAATATTTACAGTGATCTTTTTGCTGTATCTAGGGGTACTGTATCTGCTCTCATTGTCTCTTTTCTCCTACTCTGGGTGAATGGCTACTCTAAGTAGATGGCTATTGGGAATGAAGTTCATGAGCTCTCTTAAATATTTTGTGAATAGAATAGAGCAGGAAGGAACCTTGGAGGTCTTCTAGTCCAGCCCCCTGCTCAAGCAGGAGAACCTGAGATGGTATAGGTTCTCCTGCTTGAGCAGGGGGCTGGACTAGAAGAGCTCCAAGGTCCCTTCCAACTCTATTCTATTCTATTCTATTCTATTCTATTCTATTCTATTCTATTCTATTCTATTCTATTCCATTCCATTCCATTCCATTTCAGACAAGTGACTGTCTAGTCTGTTCTTAAAAACCTCCAGTGATGGAGCACCCACAATTTCTGAAGGCAAGCTGTTCCACTGGTTAATTGTCCTCACTGTTAGGAAGTTTCTCCTTAATTCCAGGTTGCTTCTCTCTTTGATCAGTTTCCAACCATTGTTTCTTGTCCTGCCCTCTGGTGCTTTGGAGAATAATTTGACACCCTCTTCTTGGTGGCAGCCCCTCAAATACTGGAATACTGCTATCATGTCTCCCCTATTTCTTCTTTTCTTTAGACTAGCCAGATCCAAGTCCTGCAACCGTTCTTCATATGTTTCAATCTCCAGGCCTTTGATCATCTTAGTTGCTCTTCTCTGAACTTTTTCCAAGGTCTCAACATCTTTTTTGTAGTATGGTGACCAAAATTGGTTACAGTATTCCAGGTGTGGTCTTACTAGGGTTTTATAAAGCGGTACTAATACTTTGTGTGAATTTGATTCTATGCCTCTCTTTACACAACCCAGGATTGTATTAACTTTTTTGGCTGCTGCTGCACACTGCTGGCTCATGTTCAAGTGATCATCCACTAGGACTTCAAGGTCCCTCTCACAGTTACTGTTTTTGAGCCACGTTTCACCTAGTCTGTACTTATATCTTTGATTTCTCCTGCCTATATTTAAACTTTGCTGTTCTCCACATTAAAATTCATTTTGTTAGATAGGGTCCATTGTTCAAGTTTGTCAAGATCTTTTTGGATCCATTTTGAGGATCCATACTTTGAGTATGAGAAATGCTTGGATGTGGAAGCTTTGGACAAAGCTTCCACATTCTGTTAAAGCAGAATCTCCTAAACTGTGAGATGTACCTCCCTTGTAGAATCCAGAGGAGTTTTGGAGAGCCTTTTAGTTGCATAGGTAAAATAGATCCACCTTTCCCAAAGTTTCATTGTATTATTTTCGTTATTCATTTATGTTCATTTTGGTGTTTAGATTTTAGGGGAAGTGTGTACTTTAAAATTATACTAAAGGGAGGTGAGATAGCAAAAAGTTAGGAACCCCTATTTTAAGAAAAACAGAAAGTCTGTCCTTCCATCCCCAAGAGCAGTAGTTTTGAAATTATTTAAATTCTAATTACCTTTCAGGTTTTGTGACTGTGTGTCCGTGTGTGCACATATGCCAGAGAGATGCATTGAAATATTTTTATATAGCTTGAAGTCAATATGTAAAAGTTTTCACTTACCTGGCTTATTTCAAATTTCATGCTTCTTGGCCATCATTGGTAGCTAATATTACTAATTTCTTAAGTAATGTACTTCTAGCAAAGTAAGAGTGCAACTTTCTACACTCAGATGTCATGCAACAATAAGAAGTCCCAAGTCTATAAAACAAACTAGAACAAAAAAAGGTCCTTTGGCTAAAAATGTAGTATTGTCAGTCAAATTTCAAAGACAAGTCTGACTTATATTGAAGTATAATACGGAAAAGATACTGTAGCTCACCAATCAACATTGTTAACACTTGGACTGGTCTTCTGACCTTTAATGGTAAGTATCAAAATGTACTGTCCAAATAATTACTCAGTAAGTGTGATTCTTTTTTACAACTTTGGGTAATAATGCTTCAAACGGCAACACAATTGAGAATTCTAGAAGCCAAAGAGTGAATTGAGTGAAATTTTCATGTCATTTCAAGGGCCACATCACTTATAACTTATTATAATAATAAAATAGGGAAATTAGTACTGAAGTTAAATTCTGTCCAGAAATAGCTGCTTTTAGCAAACAGCTGAAGCTGGTGAAACATACTCCAAGAGCTGTTAAGATCCAATAAAGAAAAAAGTGCTTCAGATTAGGCATGGCTGTGAACCCCCAGAAAAATAGATATTTCAGTTAAGGAAGCATTATGGAGGTTTAGTTTGGTTTAGTTACATTTAAAATTGTGGAAGTTGTTTTGGTGGAAATTAATATGATGTCAGCAAAGAGCTTTGAAGAATCTTAGGATCGAGAATAGATTTAAGCAAATCTGCTCATCATTTCTGACAGTTTTTCTTAAAAGATTATGTTTCTCTGCACAAATGTTATATTTTTAAGAATGATTGTGTTTAAAATGTTTGTATTTTTCCTTGAGATCACATATGTATTCATACACATATACAGACATGGAACTGTTTTGGTTTTTTCTGTTTTTATTTGTCTTCCTTTTTAATTCTTCGGGTTTTTTGTCTTGATGTTTTTCTGTGCAGTTTTTTTTTTAAATTAGGGAGTTATGATCAGTTGTGAATTCATTTCCTTTCGAACTAGCAATTTTTCATATTGACAGAAGCAGTTTATTTATTTACTTATTTGATTTTTATAGTCACCCATTTCAGCAAACAAATCTGGGTTGATCACAATTGATATGTACTATATCAAATCAGCATACTATTAAAAAATGATGTACCATATCAGTGTAGTAGTTAAGGAGTTAGACTAGGAGTAGGGAGACCCAGATTCTAGTCCAGCCTCAGCCATGGGAGCTGGCTGAGTTACTTTGGGCCAGTCTATCTCCTTCAGCCAATCTTACTTCACAGAGTTATTATGTGGAAATAATAGGAGACAACACAGAGTTATTATGTGGAAATAATAGGAGACAGCACCTTAAACTCCTGTACAAAAGGTGAGATACAAATCTAATAAATGAATAATAAATTTAATGACTGAAAGAAAAGAAAATGTTTCTAACTTTTTAACTCTGAAATCTCATCTCTTCCTTCTTACACCTCAATTTAGCTAAATGATAATTGTGAGAGGTATCCCAGTAAAACAATTCAGAATTCTCAACAGTCAGTGTCTGGTTAGCAGACACTGGAAGAGCTTTCCTCCAGAAGTTGTGGGTGTTCCATCATGGAGGTTTCCAAGAAGAAATTGAACAAAATGTTTGTCCTGAATGGTAGATAGTCTCCTGCTCGAGCAGGGGTTGGATTAGAAGACCTCCAAGGTCCCGTCAAACTCTATGTTGTATAGTTACTTTTAGCATCATCAGTGTAGTGTAATGTGTGCTCTTATTCTAAGAGAGCTGATGGAGAAATAGGTTCAGCGAAAAACCTCAAAGTGTTTGGAGTAATACACTGATCATGGCATAAAAGTTTATAGACATTTTTGTTCCATTTATTCAAATGTAGAGTATTAACTTAAGATATGAACTTAACACAGACGTATATAGCTTGTTGGGGGGTTGGGAAATGATGTTCCGTGTAACTGATGAAGTGGACTATAATCAACATCATTCTTTGTCAGTTTGCTGACACAGACCACATACCTACCCTGCTATAAAGACACCTACACTTCCAGAAAATATCTATTCAGCAGTAATAGATATGAGAATGAAAACAAGATTTTTGAACTACAGCTTCATCCTTTTTTCAAAAATTCATGTAGATCATAATTTTCATATTATATTTTAAAAAGAAATTGTCATGCGTGGTTATTTACATATTACAGTATGTTTTTCTGAAATGACTAATTTCAAAAGCACAGCATGAAAATCAATGCTTAGTCAGAAAGAATATAGCTGCAAAAAATGTATTACTTCTTATTAAAGGTTGTAGAAATGTATTGTTAATTAAACAACATTGGTGATTTTTCCTTGGTTGTTCACATTATTGATAGGCTAACAAAACATTATCTTTTAATGGCATTAAAAGAGGTTAGTTTTCAACCTGGTTGTCCAATTTTTTCTCTAGCTTTCTATGATTTGAATTGGAGATGAACTTGTTTGATTGCTTACCTACATGGTACCTTTTTGTCATTATATTCTAATGCTGACATTCTTGTCTTTATGTCTATGCATTCTTCAGCTTTGAGGATAACAGACCCTTCATCAAGTAAGAATGACCTGAATGACTGATAAATTCTATTTATCAGTGTGTTCCCATGAACTGGCTGTCAGATCAGTATTTAAAAATCATTACAGCTTCTGTCATTTGCCTTTGAGAGAGGTAGAAGAGCAAACTGTGAGGGGAAAACTGTAAGGCCTAAAGTTTTATACTGTATTTATCTTGACTGGCAATTACTTGGACATCTTATTCAATACTATTTATTATAGATTTGAGATAACTTCTCTATTATATTCAGAACATTTATTGTGTTTTAGTTTATACTGGCTGATGCAGCTGATTGGCAGGATTCTTTTTAAATGCAGGAGTTCCAATGCTCTTTATTTAATATGAAAAAAGGATCCTAAACTGACAATTTAAAGATACACAGAAATAATTAATCAAAAGTATTTAGATCGCTTATTTACATTTTTTTGAAAACTCAAGATTTCTAATAACACCCTTGTGTTTAGAACAGCTGAATGTTAAGAGACATAGCAAAATATTAATTATGGGCCTTAGATAACGCACTGCACCACCACCCCAAATCCTGCAATCAGTGGTATTATCTTTGCAAGTGCTACTACTTTACAGTGGACTTTCAGTTTGTTCTTCTGGTGAAGAGTCATTTATGTTCATTTATTTTGTCTCATTCTCATCATTGTCATTCTTTTACACAAGATTGTGAGATGCAATCTATTACATTGGGTTGTGATTACTATATAAAGTCTAAATCTTAATTATGTATAATTGTTAGCCAGTGTTAAAATATACCAATTTATAACAACATATTATCAGCTGCACCTTTTACATGTGTCAGTTTTACATACAGACACACGACATGAAGAAAATCTTTAATAATGTACTTCCTGCTTGATGTACATCTGTTACAGATTTGATTATACATTTCCTAAATCAATCATCCATCCTTCCTGCATTTAACAAAAGATTAAGAGGAAGATTTTCTACTATATATTTTAGGAACAATAGCAGCCTCAAAGAAAAAAAAATAGAAGAGTTGTTGAATAATTATAGTGCTTTTTGGTAGTGGGTGAGATGAATAAGCTATTAGAAGTTCTAGTGGGTCTTATTTCCTACAGCAGATTTTCCTCTCTGCAGGTGGTTGCTTCAATATGCCAGCAGAAGCCTCTACCACTACCATTATTCCAGTGGTAGTTGGGTATATGGAGTGTGTTTAGTTTGGAACCATGGATTCTAGAAGTCAGTGGAAATGCTTAACTAAAAAAAAAGATCAATTAATGGGGAAAGTGCAGCAAAAAAGGAAAAAGCTACTTCCTCAGCTTCTACCTTAGCTGATCTATGTAGTCCTAGGAAGTGCTCATTTCTCTGCCAAAGATTTTTTCCAATAGCATTGATGGGACAAGATCCTTAAAATATAGATTGAGCTAATACTTCTTTCAATAACTTCCATTATTGCCCTTATATTTTGGATGAAGAGCTAAAGTTGAAAAAAAAATACTTGTCTAATTCTTGAATGTCCATTGTGGTTCCCTGGACACATTTCTTGGTCCTGCCAAACTCCCATCCCTGTTTGACTGTTCATATGTATTTTTAATTATATTTATTTTTAGGAAACTGTCATCTTACAAAGCCTATGAACAGATCTCCAACATTGTCTTTATTTATAGAATGCCTCAGGTCAGGTATGGCTTTGTTAGAATATACAAATGGGGAGTGAGGGTAGCAGTAATCAGTTTGCCTTCTAAATGTATAAATGCTTTGAAAATAACTGTGCCCACTGTAACAGTCATTCGGTGAAGTGATAAGACCTCCCTGGAATCTTCCTGTGAAAGGGTCCATTACATGCTCTCAAAATTCCACATGTTCTCACCAACACAAATATATATGGAATCTTGCTCCACATCAACTTCTAAATTCATAATATGGTTGTCATGTGCACTAGAAAATTTCTGATTCACAATCCATTTTCTTAGCAAATGTACTATATGGCCTAGCTGACCTAGTTCATACTTGTTCAAAAAGCTATCCAAGATTGGATTTGGCTAGTACGTAGAGGAGAGACAGGCAGATCAAAAAGGAGGAGCAGTAGCAGGAGGCACTGTCAAGCACTTCTATGCTGTTGCCAAGAAAACTACAGGAATATGCCCATGAAGTCTCTCAAAGAGTAAATTTTAGATTTTTATAGGCAATTCTTATCTCTCTTAAAAATTGACAAATTAAAAAACTATATATTTTTAGAAAAATAATCTAAAATGAGATTACAGGAATCATTTTGTTGTATCATTACGTTCCATGCATTTTTTAAAATGTAACTCCGAATGATATTATCTTCATTATTATAGCACCTTGCTGCACTATATAGCTTCTCCTAATTCATTCTACTTAATTACAAATTATTATACTTGTTCACTTTTTTATCCTACATTTATCCTTTTTAGTAATATATCAAAATTACTTTAGATGGTCACCTTAACCCTTAGAATATATACACTACATTGTTGTTTTGCAGTACCTAAAACTCAGCTAAATGAGATTAGTACTGTATTTCAGTCATTGATCAGCCTTAAGCAACATAAGGCATAGAAACATAGTTACATAAGATTAAAAGATGAATATGATATATAAATGGAATAAAGAAATATAAATAAAGCAATAATGGGTGAAAAATTCTTAATTCAAATAAACCAGTTAGATCTCTGATGCTATTAGCAATAACTCTTCAGTTAAGAAGTTGAGGTTGGCCAGATAAGAAACAGACAACACATGGATTCCCAGAAACTTTAAATTATTTTTGTACATCAACATAAACAAAAAGTAGAGAAGGGAACTAGGGGATTAGCCATATTGGTCCTAATTCTCACTAACAGGGATGAAATGATAGAAGGTGTTGAAGCCATAGGAACCTTGGGGTGGGGAGGAGTGATCATGCAATATTGGAATTCAACATTATGCAAGCACAAGCAATACAACACAGTCAAACTAGAGTCTTGGACTTCAAGAGAGCTAATTTCAATAAACTTAGAGAAAGCTTAGGAAGGATTCCATGGATGAGAATCCTCAAGGGGAAAACAACTCAAGAAGCTTGGGAAATTTTGAAAAGTGAGATAATAAAAGCCCAGTCTAGCACAATACCAATGAAGAAGAAAAATAACAGCTCTCGAAAGAAACCAGCATGGCTGCATAAAGAACTCTGTGATAAATTGAAAGACAAAAAGGATAAGTATAACAAGTGGAAAGAGAGACACATAACTAAGGCAGAATATCAGCAAATAGCCCGAGCCTGCAAAGATGAAGTGAGGAAAGCTAAGGCTCAAAATGAATTAAGGCTTGCAACAAAAGTCAAAAATAACAAAAAAAAAGCTTCTTTCAACATGTAAAAAACAAGAAAAAAGTCAAGGAAACGATTGGCCCATTAGTGGGAGAAAGTGGCAAGAAGGTGACAAGCAACAGGGAGGAAGCAGAACTATTTAACTTGTTTTTTGCATCTGTCTTTACATAAAGGGAAAAAACAATCCAATCTATCAAAAACATACGCTAAAAAAATGGATTAGATAGGCAAGAAAATGGTAAGTGAGCACCTGTCCAGCATAGATGAGTTCAAATCACCAGGACCAGATGGATTACACCCCAAGGTTCTCAAGGAACTGGCAGATGTGGTCTCAGAACCAGTGAACTATATCTTTCAAAGATCCTGGAGCGTTGGGGAACTACCAGAGGACTGGAAAAGAGCTGATGTAGTTCCCATCTTTAAAAAAGGAAAAAAATGGATCCAGGAAATTACAGATCTATCAGCCTGACCTCAATACCTGGGAAGATTCTGGAAAAGATAATCAAACAACGAACACCTAGAGGCAAACAAAGTCATTACCAAAAGCCAACATGGGTTTGTCAAAAACAGATCATGCCATACAAATCTTATCGCATTCTTTGACCAAGTGACAAAATTAGCGGATCAGAGGAATGCTGTGGATATAATTTATTTGGACTTCAGTAAGGTATTTGATAAAGTAGATCACAACCTACTACTTGATAAGATAGAAAAATGTGGGTTAGACAGTATCACCACCAGATGGATTCGTAGCTGGCTGACTGGCCATACTCAGCATGTAGTCCTCAATGGAACTGCATCTACATGGAGGGAAGTGAGTAGTAGGGTACCCCAGGGCTCTGTTCTGGGCCCAGTGCTCTTCAACATCTTCATCAATGATTTGGATGAGGGGATAGATGAGGAACTCATCAAATTTGCAGATGACACCAAGCTGGCAGGAATAGCCAACACTCCAGAAGACAGGCTTAAGATACAGAAGGATCTTGACAGACTTGAACACTGGGCGCTATCTAACAAAATGAAATTCAATGGTGAAAAAAGTAAGATTCTACATTTAGGCAACAAAAAACCAAATGCACAGGTATAGTATAGGGAGTACCTTGTTCAATAGCAGTAATTGTGAGAGGGATCTTGGAATCCTAGTGAATAATCACTTAAATATGAGCCAGCAGTATGCTGCAGCTGTCAAAAAAAGCCAACACAGTGCTAGGCTGCACTAATAGAGGGATAGAATCAAGATCACATGAAGTGTTAATACCACTCTAAACTTGGAATACTGCATCCAGTTTTTGTTACCACGATGTAAAAAAGATGTTGAGACTCTAGAAAGAGTACAGAGAAGAGCGACAACGATTAGGGGGCTGAAGGCTAAAACATACAAGGAACGGTTGCTGGAGTTGGGTATGTCTTGTTTAATGAAGAGAAAGACGAGGGGAGACATGATAGCAGAGTTCCAATATCTCAGGGGTTACCACAAAGAAGAGGGAGTCAAGCTATTCTCCAAAGCACCTGAAGGCAAGACAAGAAACAATGGATGGAAACTAATCAAAGAGAAAAGCAACCTAAAACTAAGGAGAAACTTCCTGACAGAACAATTAATCAATGGAACAACCTGCCTCCAGAAACTGAATGCTCCAACACTGGAAGTCTTTAAGAAGACTTTAAGAAGAGATTGGACAGCCATTTATCTCAAATAGTA